CTGCCACAAGCCAGCAACAGAACCAGACCTGAACCTGGGGTTACAGCAGAAACCCAGGAATCCATAAAGAAGTCTTTAGCAACAGCCTTTGTGAAAGCCACGAGGACAAGGGTTAACAGTCCTCTTTGGAGCAAGATTGTGTTGTGGTCCAGTGAACTTCTTTGGGCCTGTTTCCTCAACTGTAAAATAAAAACAACCTCCTGGGGGCAGCCTGTGGCGGCAGATGAGAAGGGGCAGGTGGATACCAGGGAGTACAGAAGAACGCCTCCGGCTCCTGTGCCAAGGACTGTGTCCAAGCCAAAGCTCTTTCTTCACAGTGGAAAGACCGAGAGGAGGCAGATAAGATATGAAAAGATAAATGCTAAGCCCTGACTGCTGAGGGCTTGAAAGACTCACAACCACAGCAACCCTGAGAGTACCTGGCTTGCACTCCCTCCCTCCCCTTCGATCAGGGGCAGGATAAGCTGCCCCTGAAATGCCCAGGGCAATACTTGGGCTTGGGCTAGGTGATCCAAAAAGTGATTTCTGCCGAAGGATGAAGGTGGGGTGGAGGATCAGGAGCTCCTTCAACATCCCCGGCTGGCTCCTCCCCTTCCGCAGAACTTGCAATGGCACTGGACTGTCAGACTCCCACAGATCAGCAATGCCCGGTGCCCGAGGCGCTTAACCCCGCACCTGACCCAGATTGCAGCGGGGACTGGAGCCTCCCGCCTCTCGCACACAGTAATGCCATTACCGCCTCCAGGCGCACCATTCGAGGTGCCAGGGCTGCTGGCTGTCACCGGGGGACTAAGGGAGCCGGCACAGGCGCGGACACCGCGGGGAAGCGGGGCGCCGAGCGCCGGGTCCAAACCCGAGCGCAGGGCCGGCCGGAGGCGCAGGGCCCGCTCGCGCCGCGGAGGGAGGCGGCGGGAGGCGCCGCAGCTCCCACCGGTCACCGAGAGCAAGGGGCCCGGCGACGCCGCGCGCGCCCCTCCCGGCCGCCCTCTTCCGCACCCCTCCTCCTCGCCTAACGGGCAGCCGCACGAACTTCCCGAAACTCGGCGGGGAGAACAGCCGAGCCCCGCCGCTCTGCCCGAGGCGCGCGCCGCGGCGGGCGCGCCGGGGACGGAAGTGGGAGGGAAAGCACGGCCGCGCGGCGCCTTTGTTACGGCCAAGGGGACCCCGAGGGCGGCCCGCAGCACCCTCCAGGGCCTCGGGGGGGCCCCCGGATCCAACTTCCCCCCTCCTTCACTGCCGATCAGCGCCTCCCGGGTTCCCGCCTCGGCCCGCGGCAGGACGGCTAGCCGCACCCCCTCCACCCCTTCGCCAGCTCCGGCCGGGAGAGGGGCGCACCTCGGTGTGGCCTGGCCCGAGCCCCAAGCTGCCTCCCTCACCCCGAGGCCACCACGCCCGCCCAGGGGCGTTCTCACCTTCCCGGCGCCCTCCTCTCATCTTTGGGGAGTACAACCGCGAGTCCCCAGCGCAGCAGCCTCCACTTCCCAAAACCACCGCGGCGACTCCCCGCTCTGGGACGGCGACAGACACCCCCACGCCCCCGCTCTCTCCCCGCCCCCGGGGACGACTCACGTCGCTCCTCACCTGGAGGAGCCCACACGTCCCCTCCCCAGCGCCGGCCCGCGCGGCCAGCGGGAGCTGGCGCCCTCTGCCGGGCCACCGGGCCGGGGCTCCCCGGGGAGCGGGCGAGGGGCGGGGAGGGTGGGGGACGCAGGGCCGCGGGTCCCGCGCGCCGACCCCCGCGCCTCCTCCCGCCGCGCATCACCGCGGCCCACGCCAGAGGCGAGCGCTCAGGGGCCGTGCGGGGCCCGATCGCTCCCCGGGCGACACCCGCGCCCCGCGAAGCGACAGCACGCCCAGACTCGCCCCGGCGGTCCGGCCCTGTCCCCGCGAGCTGCTCCGGGAACCGCCTCCGCCCGGCTCAGGCACGCTCAGGGTTGTGATTTTTATTTTAACTGTTTACTGTGTTGACAACTAAGTTTGTATCCCAGTCCCAGGACAGCATCGAGGCGAGGCAGGAGGAGGAGAGGGGCGGCCGATCACGCTCCGCGGGGTGCCCTGGGTCGGATCTGGGCTGGTCGCCCGGCGGGCCGGGGGCTGAGGGTGATGAGCACTTTCGAGGGAGTAAACAGTTTCCCCAGAGGAAGTACAAGTTCAGCGTCTAACCCTCCCCCGGGCCTCCGTGAAACTTGGGAGGATGATCGGATGTGGGGAGTCCTCCCAGGTCCCCAACTTCCCCACCCCACTCACCTTCTCAAGCTCCTGCCTAGTGGAGGGGCGGAGGGGGGAGGGAGGCTCGGTTGCGCCCTTGCCCACCTGCCGGCTTCTCCGCCCAGTCCCTAGTTCCCCACGACCAGGGGGGCGCGCGACACACGAGGACCTCGGTGGCGGCGGCACGGACCTCGGTGGCCACGGCAAGGATCCCGGCTCAAGCTGGCTGTTTCCAAGAGTGGCCGGGGACCGTCGTCCACTGGACTCCCAGTGGCCGCAGCTGCCCCAGCGGAGCTAGCCGAGAGCTGCTTCTGGCCGCCCAGGCGCCTCCTCCTCAGAGTTCCAGCCGAGGCGGGCGGACTCCGGGTTATTAATTGTAGGGGCCCCCCGGGTGTCGGCCTCCGGGCGCTCTGAGTGGCTCGGATGGCGCGCCAGGCCGGCGGGGCAGGCGCAACCCACCCCCTGGGCGCGCTCCCGTCCGGGCTCAGCCCAAGGACGCGCCCCGAGCACGCGCCCGGCGGCTCTAGGGCTCCCAAGAGCTGGTTTGCTGCTGCCCCGAGGCCAGAGAAGTGCTGCTCACCTTTGAGACCGCGAGTGGAAGATCAGAGCCTCCAGCAGATCCAGAGCCAGGGATCCGGCCACGCGAGCGAATGTTACAGCCCAGAGCACTCGTTCGGACGAGTTACCAAGGAGACTGTTCTTGTTGGGATACGCGCAACTGTGAAAAGTCACCTCGTCTGTCTGGAGCGGACCCTCACCACCTCTTAGTGGTGTTTGCCCTTAGTTTACATCAGATTCCCCCAAAATTGGGTAACACAAGATCTTCCTATCTCCTGGCCATTTGGGTTTCTAATCTTCCCAAGTTTCCCCAGGCGGGGGAGGGGGCAACCAGGAAATTTGCATTTCTCACAACTTTCCAAGTGATGCTGAGTTAAGGTTTGTGAAAACACTTGGTGATGGCAAAGAGGTGGATAAATTTAAACGTGGAAAATATGTTACTTTTTTGTTTCAGCGGATAGTGATAGGATTTAATCTCCTTGCACGCGCGAGCACACACACACACACACACACACACACACACACACCTCTGCTGCATTTCCTCTCAGTGTTAGACTGTCTTAATTTTTTTCTCCTCTGGAGTTCGCACCAAGCACACGCAGAAGGCCCTCATCAGAAGAAAAGTGAAGGCGTTCATTTGCAAGTAAAGCAACAACAAGAAGCCACAGACCACGACTTCCATAACAGACGATTTTCCTCACAGCCCATCCTCAAGGCTGCAAACCTGAGGCCAACTTGTCTCACAGGGGTGGCAGGGGTGGTTTCTCCTGAAGATGACCTTCCATTTTCTTTTTTCTTTTTCTTCTCTTTCTTTCTCCTTTCTTCCTCCCTCCCTTCCCTTCCATTCCCTTCCCTTCCCTTCCCTCACCTCCCTTCGTTCTTTTTATCTTGGGGCTTGAAATCAGGGCCTGGATGCTATCTTTTGCTTTTCCCTCAAGATTAGTGCTCTACTACTTGAACCATAGCTGTACTTCTGACTTTTTGGTGGTCTCATGGATTTTTCTGCCAAACCTGGCTTATCCTCTTATCACAGCCTTCTGAAAAACCAGGATTTACAGGCACGAGTCACCAATGTCTGGCTGTAGTTTCTTCTAGTTTTGACTTGAATTTGGCTTTTTAGCATAACTGAACTGCATCTTAGGGTTATGTTGCAAACACATAACGTAGCTGGTAATTCTGCTGACCTTAAATTATCTAGTGAATTCACTGTTGCTTCAGAAGACTATTCTGCTCTCTAACCTATCTGACTAGTTCCCTGTCTATGCCCTTCTTTCTAGACACAGGGCAATAGATGCCCCACAGATCTGAGGGGTCCATGTTTCCAGCCTCTGGAACAGGCATACTTGAACAGGTACTCCCTGTGATCATCTTGGTTTTAAAGAAGGGATCAGTCCCCTTGCAGCTTCCTCCCTCAAATCACCAGCTCCAGGAGTCCTGTCCCCTCACTTCTAGTTTAAAGGCCCCCATGTGGCTCCTACTGCACATGGGTACTACATACAGTCTATCATAGCCATAGAAAACATTGGCTGTTTTCATTGGTCACTTTTCTATGTCCTCCAGTACAGTAGGAACTTTGGAAGAACAAAGACTTTATCCATTTTTGTAAGCTTGAAGTCTAGATTGGATTTGATGCTCAGAAAATTACAATTATATATTTATACACATGGCATATGTGTATATATAAATTAATTACATTCTTTATAATAATATAATAACTTATATTAATATATAGTTTATGATATATTCATATTACATCTTTTTTATTTTTTATTTTGGGTCCGGTTGTGGGCCTGAACTCTGAGCCTGGGTGCTGCCCCTCAGCTCTTCAACTCAAGGCTAGCGCTCTACCACTTGAGCCACAGCGCCACTTCCAGCTTTTTTTTTTTTTGCTTATGGGTGCTGAGGAATCGAACCCAGGGCCTCAAGCATGCAAGGCAAGTGCTTTACCACTGAGCCACCTTCAAAGCCCCTCATATTACATCTTATATGGTGTATATGTTAATATATATTATAGTATTACATATTATATATTATATATGTAATATATATTATATATTACATATTACATATATTATATATTATATAATATATTTTATATAATAATATAATTTTATATATATTATATTATATAATATATATAATAATATAATTTTATATATTATATAATATATTATATATAATAATATAATTTTATATATATTATATTATATAATAATATATAATATTATAATATTATAATATATAATATTATATATATAATAATATATAATATTATATATTATATATAAAATATATAATATTATATATAATATATTATATATAATATATAATATTATATATAATATATTAATATATATTATATTATACATATATATAATATATATTATATATAATAGTTACAATATATTATATATAATATATATTATTATAACATAATATATATAATATAATTATATATATATAACAATATTATAATAATATATATTATAATAATATATTATTGTATATAATATATATTATTATATATAATATGTATAATATATAAATATATATTATTATATTATATATATAATATTATATATAATATATATTATAGTAGTATATATTTAGTTAAACACTAGTGACTCATTCATATAACCCTAGCCACTTAGGAGGCTGAGATCCCAGAACTGCAGTTCAAAGCCAGCCTAAGCAGAAAAGTGTGAGATTCTTATTTCCAATTACACAAAAATCTGGAAGTGAAGCTTTGGCTCAAGTTGTAGAGTGCCAGCCTTAAAAAAGCTAAGGGACAGCACCGAGATCCTGGGTTTTAGACCCTGTATGAGCACACACATACACACACACACACACACACACACACACACACCTTACCTTAAGGAATAAGTGAATTCTTAAAAATTCAGAGGATTTGATAGAACTTGTTTTCAAGCTCTTTTGATTCTATTTTGTCAATATTCTCCTAAGTCACTTCCTGGTTAAAGATTTTAGAATTCCTATTTAGCTTCTGTTGCTTCCTAATTATTCAGTGTTCCTTAGTCTTAGTCTTTTAAAACTGCTGATCCTCAAATTAAAATTTGTCCTCAATGTTTTTGGTTGATAAGAATCACTACCCTCAGATCTCAGCCTCCTGAGTAGCTAGGATTAGAGGTGTGAGTTACTAGTGTCTGGCTCAAATTTTTGTTTTGATGAAATCAAGTTAGTAGTAAAAGACTATGATGACTATCCTACTTAGTAAAAGTATTGTCGTGGAATGTCTGTTTTAGTTTAATATATTTGTGGGGATGTGTATAAATATACGGTGTGAGGTGTCAAATATATACCTTCACGTGGTTCCTAATTTAAAAGTCCCTCTGACTTTTTAAGAACTTGGAGACGGGAGCTATGCTCTCACACATTTGCAGACAGACATGCACGCAGCTATGTAGAACATCATCTGAACCACTGTTCATCAAGGAATTGACTCAGCAGAGAGGAAAACACTATGTTGCCTCTACAAAGAGTTGGTGTTCTGTAAATGCTTCTGTGGGCTGCAATGGATGGGAGTGTGAGATGATTGTGGGGAGTCCTCTTGGATTGAAGAGAAATGAAATCAGCGATTCAGAGGAGAGAGGCAGGAGGCCTTGTTCACTGCCAGTCAGAGCTGGTGTTCATAGAGCTTCCCAAACATGAGCAAGGGATGTAGTGACATAGGATTGCCTGACCCAGTTTCCATCATCAGGTGTTCCCAGGCTAAAAGTGATAGTAGCTACCCTCTGCAGAAAGAAAAGTAGCAAGGAGGAGCCCAGGGCCATCTGCAGCCCTTCAAATCACTGCCTCCAGTTTCTAAACTCTGACAGTATACTTGGTAGGAAGGCTCATTGATAGGGGCAGAAATTAGATAGGATTATATAACAACAGAGAATAAGCAAATGACTCTTCAGAAACAATAACCTTGATGGTTATGCCACATATGTCCAGCCATATTATTAAATACCTTTAACTGAGGAAACAAAATCCAGCTCACAAATATTCAGAAGGCCAGGTTCCTCCTCTGCCAATATCAAGTTTAGAAACTGTTACAGGAATTTCCACACTGCTAAAGGATACATATTATTGTTACTATTTCTTTTTTCCTTTTGTTCTGGTGCGGGAAGATTAGAAGAATTGAGATTTGGACCTCAGAGAAGATGGAGATTTTTTTTAAAATCAAGAAAATGAGCCAGATCAAAAAGAACTAAAATTGTAACAGAAAATATTTTAAAAGACAACAATTTCTATGTGTACATGGAAATACACTTGGCCTTGAAAATTATTACAGAATTATATTTTGGATTTGGAACTGATACTCACAAAACACTATGTGGGAAATGATTTTTACAACATGGGGGAGAGGGTTAATAGGGGAAAAAAGGGGGTAACACTGTTTGGCAAAAAATGTACTCATTACCTCATTGTAACCCCTCTGTACAGCATCTCTACAATAAAAAAAATTTTTTTTAAAGAAATTAAACTGGGACATGCCTGAGTTTGAACCAAGCTTAAAAATGTGTTCCAGATGATTAGATTTTTTTTGGCACAAACAAATAAGTGAAAACGTGGTTTTCAAATTTTTCTGGGGACTGGAATAGTCTGTTATTTATAATACTGGACTTTGTGTCAGTTGGATTTTACTCCTTAAGTACAAAGATTCTTCAGCCATATGTTAGCCCTCACTTCCTGTCTTACTAACATTATTAACCCCCTTTTAATACTTTG